CCCCCCGACCTGCCCCGGGGCCACCGGCTGCCGCGGCCGGAGCCCTCCCGGTTCCCAGGCTCCCTCTCTTCCTGACGGTGTTCCCCTCTGTCCCGGTGCCAGCATTGTTCTTCCACCCCGGCGGCTCCCCCGGCCCCGGCACGTACCTCCCGCCCCACGGCAGCCACCGCTGCCTGCGCCCCCCACCCCGGCCTGCCCCAGCCCACCCCCCAGCGCCAGCCCCGCTCGCCCAGCTGGCTGGTAGCCACGGGGCTTGTGGGGCCAGGAGGAGGGCGATGGGTTTGGACGGCAAGAGGGGGCTTTGGGGCAGAGCCCAGGGAGAAACTGCCCACCCTGGGGTGGTGAGAGCCTGGCCCAGGCTGCCCTGAGAAGCTGTGGCTGCCCCATCCCTGGAGGGGTTCAAGGGCAGGTTGGAGGGGGCTTGGAGCAACCTGGTGTGGTGGGAGGTGTCCCTGCCCAGGGCAGGGGGTGGCACTGGGGGGGCTTTAAGGTCCCTTCCCACCCAAACCAGTCTGTGATTCTATCCCGTGACTCTACGCCTGCAGGGATTGGGATAGAAAACACGGATCTGGACACATCCAAGCACAGGATTAACCCTTTCCATGACCCCAAAACTTTTCCCACCCCCTCCAGCATCCAAGGTGCCCCGGCCCTGGCCCCCTCCTCTTCCCCGGGGAGCTCTGCCCCTCGGTCCCCTCCCACGGGGACAGGGAACGCTGCCTGTGCCCCTTCCCTCCAGGGGCTCCACCATCAGGAGGAACCTCTGCTCCTCCTCCTCATGCCAAATTCCCAGTGGCACCAGCTCCGTCCAGCCCACGGGGAGAAACCACCACGGCTGGGGAGGGCTCAGCCACCACCTCTAACAGCCCCCCCGCCCCAAATCCCCCCGAGCACCCCCTCACCCCACAGCACGGGGGGTGCCATCACAGGGCAGCTCACACCCACACCGGGGCCAGCCCGAGCGCTGGGGGAGATGGGGGCTCCGCTCCCCGCACCCCACCGGCCCCGGCAGTGGGGAGGGGTGGGGGGCTGAGCTGCTTTGTGGGGGCGGGGGGGCAGCCCCCCAGCCGAGGAGAGAACACACGGCAGGGTCTCGAGCGATGCCGCACCAAGCGGAGCCGGCAGCGAGCGGCCATGGTCTCCGGCCAGCCCGGTGTGGGGCAGGATGGACCCTGGGGGGCTGCCCCACTGAACCCCCCACCACAGGACCCCCCCACTCCACTCCC